GCAAAGATAAGGGCTGTCAGATGTCATCAAACATTTCATGAAAGTGGAATAGCGATAATAAAGTAATATAAATAGTAATAAAAATAACGGTGTGTCCTACTATACCTTATCTCCCCTGAATATTTTCCCGTATCTGGCGATGACTATAGCACCATTTACGTCCATGCTTTTGTTGCGCGTTATGAAGAAGAAGTCTTCAATTCGCCCGTAGTTTACGTAGACGAGTCTACTATTCTGAAAAGCATCATAACAGAGCATCAGTTTGGTGTCAGATGCATTTTAGGGAGGAAACACACATTCTGAACAATCATTACTTAGTTGAAAAGACAAGAAATGATAAAACTGTCATCAAAAGTAAAGAACTTAATCAAAGGTCCTTTCGCAAAATCAATAATGATTTGCCAAACTCATCCGCATTTTGTAATCACATTCATACCTCTACGGTACCGTTCTTTGAGTAAGCGTTAAATGGTGGGGGTGCTCGGGGATCCTTGGTGCTAGACGCCTTATCCAGGGCTGCCTCCTCGAGGGGAGTCTGCCAAATGACATTGCCGTTACTGTCTAGAATCTGAGCCTGAAATACATGTAGTATGAAACTCAAAGTATCCCAAAGTAAGTAATACACATCGGTATTATTAGGTTTTTACAATTATTTGGTGCTTTCTCACCCCAGCGAAGCAATTCAGAGCATTTCACAGTATATAAACCGCATTTTCTAGGCCTAATGTCCGATTTGAACGGTGGGTTATGAACCAATGTCTAAATTTGATGAAAGACTTATGAACAATTACTTGTGATTCAGGTTGTCCAGAAAGGAATGTCAAAAGATTGGCAGAGATGCAGACATTCAGATTTAAAGTCTTGTTCTTATTGCACCACCTAAATGTGCTTTTACACACACCTTGTTTGCCGTGTCGTTGCTTGTTTTATTTCCAGGATAGGAAAGGAGAACATCATACGGCACCAAGACAGCGTCATCTAAACCTTGTTCCAGCCATTTCCTACGAAGATCCTCGGCTGTTGTAAAATCCTCTGCAGTGCCGGCTACGTGAGGGTACCTTGTCATTTCCCTTGAAAGAAAAAAAAATCCACAATTTTGGCTAAATTTATTCTATGTGTACATTTATTTTCGCTTAAAGAACCTTCAATGTATGTTAAAATAACATGGATCAGCTGGTTAAACATCACTGTTCTTCAACTTAGGCTAATTCGGTTTCTGTCCTTATTAAGTTACTACCGACTAAAATTAAAAGAAGCTTTAAAAATAGATTTATTTCTCTTGCTAAACAATCTATATAACGCCACAACGCAAATATTTTCTGTGTTGGCCGTATCAGTTTCCAACTGATTAGCCTAATCAGTGAATCCTTAGGTTAAATTTCTTTAGCTTGTTTGGGTGACACGTTGGAGGTCCTTGCGCCAATGTAAAATCAACGGGACATGACTGTAAAACACAAATGAATTTTATCGCCTCCAGATCGGCTCTCAAAAATATAATGATTTGGACCAATGTGTATGGCGTCTTATTTATTTAAAGCAAAATTGCCCGTTGCTCCACTCCACTCTTCTCCACTCCATAATGCAAGTGAAATGCTCGTATGAATAGGCCACTGGTGAAATACATGTATAAAACAATGACAAACCATATCTGCAATAAGTGATAAAGGGGGTTGAAGCTCTATCATAAAAAAGTTAGGTAAACATACTGCCTGATACAGGTAGCTCCTTCTACACAAAAACATATATAAAACACAAGTTCAATGTAGGCCATCCAGGTGATGATATTTCGGAGAAAAACCGCAATCTGGACCACGCCCCCATACTAATACTTAAGACACACTAGATATGGGGCATTTGAATCTAGATATCACTCATAAACATTTGATTTACATTCGTCAAATATCAATTCTGAACTATTCATTTAAACACAAAGCTCTTTCAGAGCTTCCGTGCCAAAAACATGACCCCCTCCTTCTTCTTTTTGATATCTAGAGTCCCTTAGTCAAAGACCTGCTTGATGAAAGTACAGGATAATAAGAGTGGTATGCCAATATAAAGAGTGTAAAGGTGACAGGGACACACCCACCTTTGTTTTAAGTGCGTTTATGATAATAAATATGTAAGCATGTCGATCGTTCTTTAACAGTACAAATAAGTCACTGGTGGGTTTAGCCCGAGGGTAGTCAAATTCCAACGTCAGTGGTAATGGATTAGGGTCTAATGTTTTTAATATATAAAAATAGATGCACCTGACATTACCTTGTGGGTCTTTGCTTTTGAAATTATCATCGTATGCAACACGACACGCCCCAAAAACCACTCTGTTCATTAGGTTGAACTTTTAGCAGGTTGTATAGCCCCATTACAGCAGATGCTAGTATATTAATATTCGTATATGTGAATTTATGTACATAAATAAAAACGGCGCCGACCCTACCGTAAATTCTCGCGAATGTTTTCTGCTTTGATTCCATCAATAAGTCTCTGCCGAAAAGATATATCTCCATCTTCAGCTAATTTCAGGAACTCATTGTACGCTTTACTCTCTCCGCCTGCCGTTGCGCTCTCCGCGTTCTTGGCAGAAAAATATCCAATAAGCACCCCTGCGACCATACCAACCACTAAACAGATTGAAGCAATGAGCACCGCAATCTTTCTTCCAACTACAGACTGCATAGTTGATTCTCCAATGTGAAGAAATGACCAGTGTTAGCAAGTTTGTCTTTCTTATGCTACCACGCAGGCAAGAGATCTACATGTACGTTGGCCTAATAATGGGCTGAATACTATGCACATGCGTGCATAGGGCGTATTTTTCGTTTGCTCAGGGCTCCTTCAGGTGGGTCATTGGAGATAATACATGAGAAGCCTGTTTTCCTTTCTACCGAGTAAAATGACAAAAAATACTTTAGAGAAGCGATTTCGGAATATTGACCAAAGATGCCGCCACATAAAAATATAAAGGCAAATCTCAAACAACAAGCCTCATTCCATCTCAAAAGCCCTGGATCTCAGCTGTAGAATTAAACCAGATTTTGCCTGTTTCAGTTTAAATGCTGCATGCGATTCATTCAGTGGTTGGACCCATTATACATGTGGAATGGGTCCAGGTTCAGTGTTATGATGGTGATTCAAACCCTTTTCGTATTAATAAAACATATAAGGATGTTCAATTTTATCTTAAAACCCTTTTACTCAGTTTTAATAATCATAATTGAAACTTGGAGGTTTATCATTGCCAATCTTTACAGTCGCTCTATTTGCAAAACCAAGTTCTTCCACCACTGCCTTAAACGCCATGGTTTCTTCCACAATTAAGAGTGCCTTTAAATCACAAACACACATTATCTTGGATTCTTTTACCCAGTGTCTGTTGATCAGATCCTGGCACACAAACAGACACGTAGCATACAACAGGCAACGCCCAGGTTCATGTAGCTTAATACAGTTAACTAAGTTGACTTTATCCCCATAGCCCATCCTTGTTGCAGATGCCATAGTTCACTACCAAGTCTTAAATTCTCTACTGTTTACTCTACTGCCGTATTAGGACCAGTCAGCAAAGTTTCTGCAGAGCCCAATGGAAAAGAGCTGCAAATAATTTAATCAAAAAGAATAGCTGTTTAAATACCCCAGTTCTTATCGGATCAAGGCATGTCAAACACCATTGTGACCTTACACTCTCCACAATAAATTACACACAAATGATATATTTATGACTTAATGATTTTTTTCACTTTACGTGTACCCCAGAGAATAGATTCGCCTATGGTAAAAAATAAGTTAAATTATGCTTACATAACAGTACCAGCTAAAGGGCCGGAGGGGGGGGGTGGTGGTGAAATGTGTGAAATGAAACAAGAAGTAGTAGAACATCTCATTAACTTCCAGACTTCGCGAAAAAAGCGCATTTTCAAAGTTCGATAACTACATACAGTGTACATAACAAACACTCCAATTTGAAATGTAAATCAAAACCGAGATAGATAGGCCTATATAGCCTATTTATTCCACAATGTACAAAATATGTATATATACATAAATTTCGGGCAAAACAGAACAGTGGGGCTCCTGACCCCCACCCCCTCTTTGTAAATGTATTTCTACGTCATTTTGTCTATTATACATGTATCACTTGTTTCATCCTTCTCCACCATTAATGGGCGCCGGGGTGATCTATTTTGAATGTTAATATTCCCCTCTTGAAATTATAATTTTGACTGGCTGAATCATGGGCCCTACTTCTAAACCGTACCAAATGGCACCATTTACCCTCCAAAACACCAAAAATTTTCTGGGCCCTTGAACCCCACGCCGACCTCCCAATCCGAGGCGAGGCCGGTCTTTCCTAAAAAATAAAAAACCCACCCCTTCATAATCCTGATCCGCCCTTGGCTTTTTTTTTTTTTTTTTTTTTTTTTTGTAAACTGACAGAATTTTTGACAAAGAAGCCCAGTGTCACATTCTTTTCTTTTACAGTGGTTCTTTTCAGTTACTCCCTTTCGACCATTTACTCTTAACGCCATGTAAAGCTACTGTACACGTAGATACTGGTAGACTTGCCACATATTTTTTTTTAAAGTCGCTGCGCCAAGGAAAAGAAATTAACTTCCACTTTACAGGGGCGGATTTAGGCCGTCTTCTGGGTCTTCCAGAAGACGGTCAGACTTTCAAGTTAACATTGACGGGTATCTAATTTTTTCTGTTGGAAGACGGTCAAAATTGGACAAAGATAATTTGGAAGACTGTCAGTAAATAGTTCTGGATCCGCCCCTGACTTTACTACATAAGATACTGCAGGCCTGTAGCCAGTAATTTCAAAAAGGGGGGGGGTCTTTTTTTCTGAAATAGTGGACCTTTGTACCACTATTCGCGTAGAATTACTGTATAATTAACGTTAGTAGGCCTAAGTAAAAGTCACGAGTCTACAGTTTTTATCAGCCGATTTATTATACGAGATCTCGTAAGCTTCAACTGGCGACTGGAAAACAGGAAATAGGATCAACATTACTACGCGCGTTCTATTCTACTTCCCGTCAGCTGACACTCACAGGATTGTTGCAAACATGTCGGGGAAAGATCGCATCAACGTTTTTCCTTCACGAATGTAAGTTCATGAATGCCATTTAATGCCATTTATGTAGTTTTCTAAATTCTCTCTCTCTCTCTCTCTCTCTCTCTCTCTCTCTNTCTCTGCTGCAAAGTTAATTACATTTGATCAATTCACACGTTAATCCATTATTGTAGACCGAGAGGAGAGAGGGGCACCAAGTTATGGCGCTCTGTCCGTATCTACATTTTATTTTTTCTCATTCCGCACGGACCGATATCTGTGTAATGAGGCTATACTTAAAATATATATTTCTGTATATCTCTCATGTCAAGGGCCATGACCATAATGAAGGCCCGTCTCAAAGGGGCTCAGAAAGGCCATAGCTTACTGAAGAAGAAGGCAGATGCATTGACACTAAGGTTTAGACTTATTCTGAAAAGGATAATTGAGGTATGTGTCCAGAGTGAATAAAATCGCCATTAACATCACCAGGTTTTAAAAAACGTACTTAAAAAGCATTAACTGGCCTGCAAGTTTTATGTCAGAGAAAGCAAATTATATATGACGCTGATGGTGACAAAATTGATGGGGGGGGGGGCACTTCATAGATCATTTAAGTATCCGTTTAATGTAGTGTTCCCAGGGTATTTGGTCCATTAATAGCACAGTGTAATGAATGTGCAAGAGAAGATTGTTTAAATGGCAGCTTCTATCCGCCATGTATATATAGCTTGCATAGCACATATGTAAAACATCTGTACTGTAGGTCAACTAGAGATCCATAACCCATCTGGTTTACACTTTTTTTTCAGTGATTGAGGGATATTTCCTTTTGACAACAAAGTAATGCATTTGTAGATTTAAAAAAAGCTAAAATTCATCATTACAAAACTGACTTTTTTGGCTGAAAATTATGCATGTCACCTAGGTGTTACCTAGGTTCAAAATATGTTTCATGTTTCACAAGTGATAATATGAAAATTTCCAAGAATTTGTCATTTCAAACTTGTGGCTTTTTTTGGCTGAAAATAATAATAATTCATATATCACAAGTATTAATATTTAAGTTTCTAATACTTTTTTCCAGACAAAGACCACAATGGGTGAAGTGATGAAGGAGGCAGCTTTTTCTCTGGCCGAGGCCAAGTTTGCCACGGGAGATTTTACACACATGGTGCTACAGAACGTCAGCAAAGCACAGGTTAAAGTACGCTCCAAGAAGGACAATGTGGCTGGTAAGGAGAATTACTGGAGCATGAAATACAGCAATAAATTTCCTCAGCAGTATCATGCACTTTGGGGTCATCCATTTTTATCATCATATCCACAGGTCTATAAAGGTTAGACGGGAGGGGAGGGTTGGGTTGTTAATGCCCTCTGTATTCTTTTGAAAAAGGATGGAAATGATAATCCAAGTGCATATGTAAATCAGATAATGGTTATCTCTCTATCTTCATGGAAAAACTTTGCCTCCCCTCCCCCCCAACCCCACTTTTACTAATGATAACTTAGAAAATACTCAGAAACCAACAGCCTTTATTGGCATATATTTACTCCAATTTGCTAACATTTTTCCTAAGTTGTAAACAGATTTTGATCAGCCATGATTTAAACTAGTGTTTTCTCTTAAACCTGTCACCAGTTGACAAAATTTATTTGGTGACATCTTTATGGACCCAATCAGTTTGGAGTCTGAAGAAGCTATTTTAAATGTATTCAATCTATGAATATATTTATTTATTTATTTATATGTCTATTTATTGATTATGTTTGTTTTTTTAAGATATTAAAATGTTTAACAATTTCTTCCAGGTGTTTCTTTACCTGTATTTGAGCAGTATCAAGATGGAACTGATAGTGAGTAAATACATTGTTTGTTGGCATATCTTACTGTTCTTTGTGCTCAGTGCTGGTGCATGTCAAATAGCTGATGCATCTGAGTTTGACTTGGGCTGTTTTTCTTTTTCATTGTGATAGATGTGCAGTAATGTGAATTATTCTATGATAAAGAAAGTCCTTA